ACGACTGCCTACGGCTCAGGTCATGATCCCGGAGTCCCAGGATCAAGTCCCACATCGGGCTCCCTGCTCAGCGGGGGGTCTGCTTCTCCTTCTGACCCTCCCCCCCTCATACTCTATCTCATTCTCTCTCTCTCTCAAATAAATAAATAAAATCTTTAAAAAAAAAAAAAAGTTCCCAATGTAGTGTCAGCTATCAAAGCAGGAAGATGAGGGTGGGGGGCACAGATAGCCCATGCCTTCCAAAATCTCCCAACAGTGTCCCCAGCAGACTCCTTCAGATGTCTCTGGAGCCAGGACTGGCTCACATGGCCACTTCTCACTGCAAGGGAGACGAGACAGAGACTGTCATGACAGATTTGAACCAATTATGATTCATTGTCTGGGGATGTTGCCACGGGAACAAAATCAATCCTCTTTTAGTAAGGAAGGAGGAGGGAACAAATGAGCAACCCAAAGTGCCTACCACAACATTTTCTCTGCCTACCCTTCCTGGCCATGATTTTATCAAGCTTGGATTGCTCGAATTCCAAATTACTGTTCTCAAAACAGTAGGAATTTTTTTTTTTTTTTTAGAATAAAAGTCTAGGGATGCCTGGGTGGCTCAGTCCATTGAGCGCCTGCCTTTGGCTCAGGTCATGATCCCAGGGTCCTGGGATCGAGGGAGTCTACTTCTCCTGCCTGCAGCTCACCCTGCTTGTGCTCTCTGTCTCTCTGACAAATAGATAAAAAGTCTTAAAAACAAAAAGAATAAAATCTAGACATAATTTTTTAAACATCATTTCCAAGAATTTCTGAAATACCCTCTTCTCCCCAACCCCCACTCCCACCCCCGAGGGATGTCCCTGCTGATTGAGGATCATTACACTTGACTTTTCTCCCCATTTCAGCATGCAAAACTAGGTCAGAGAAAGACTCTTTACCTTGAAGGGGCGATGAAAAGGCTTAAAGGACATTAAAAATAGAAATAGTCATATCCCTTTGAGAGGAAATAAGTATCTTTTTGCTTACTACTATCAGTGAGAAATAAATCAGGAATTCAAAATGAAGACTACCTCATTTCTCATTTCTGGCTGTGCATTTTCACACTGCAGTTCCTCTTGCCCACACAGTTGATGAGACATTATATCTATTTCAAAAGGCAGATGCTCTTTATATATTGAAGGGAGCAAACCTGTTGACATCTCCACTCTGTGCATAAGTAGCCTCAATCCTTTTAGGTGAATTTGTTGTAGGAAGGCTTCATCATACTTAATATCAGAGGAAGGAATCACAAAGGAACTTTATACGGACTGTCACAGTAGAGGGTGAGATTCAAACCCAAGTTAACCTTTTAAGGCCATGCTCGGGGTAGTGCACAGAATCACAAAATGTTGGAGCAGGATCAGCTGGTCCAACCCTCTATTTCAGTATGGAAATTAAAACCGGAGCTGGTGACCTGCCCAACCCCATGCAGCTAGTTAGTGGCGGGATGAGAGCCAGGTCACCATCCCCACACCGCTCAAATAGGCGCACACACACACACACACATTTTTTAATTTCAAAGCAAGAAAGGGCAGAAAAGTCATCTGCCAGACTACGTCATCTGTCCTCTCTCCTTTGAAGACTGCAAATTGAGGAGCCTGGGAAGACAAGGGCTGAGTCAGGGAAACGTGAAACTTTCTGCTCTGGGCTGTTGGAGCCTAGTCAAGGAGACAAGCCTGCTCACGAGCAGTGGGAAGCTAATGTGTGCTCCATGCCGCTATCTGGCTGGGCTGACCTTAGGCATGAGGCCCTAGCTGCTCTTCCAACAGTCCATCCGTGGTGGAGAGTTAGGGAAGAGCAAGGATATGGAAAAAGTAGAACAGGCGTTGCGCTCATTTTTTTGCAAACACACAGAAATAGAAAGAAATGGCAATAGCAGGTTCAGGGATCTAATCAAGGGAGTGTGACCTGCAAATAAGAGAACATCAGCTTTCTTACCAAAGTGAGCATATCTGATAAGTGCATGCCCACGAGTCCAGAAACACGTCATCAAGGCGAAAGTGGAGATATAATAATATGCTCCCTGCGCGCTTCCAGATCCCAAAGAGTTAGGTCACGTTCTTCAAGATTAAAAATTGAAACTAAGGGCGCCTGAGTGGCTCAGATGGTTAAGCGTCTGCCTTCGGCTCAGGTCATGATCTCAGAGTCCTGGGATCGAGTCCCACATTGGGCTCCTTGCTTAGCCAGGATCCTGCTTCTCCCTCTGCCTGCTGCTCCCCCTGCTTGTACTCTCCCTCTCTCTCTCTCTCTGGCAAATAAATAAA